AGCACCGCGCCGCGCCACGGTGCCGCCGCCAGCGCGTTGACGTCCACGCCCACCTGCGCGGCGGCGGCGGCCAGCGCGGCGTCCAGCGCCGCGTCGCGCGCCGCCTCGCCCAGCTCGCCCTGCAGCGGGTGCAGGTGGAGGGAGCGCGACGCGCGCGCCGCGCCCGCGCCCCCCGCCAGCGCGGCCAGCGAGGCCAGCGGGTCCAGCAGCGAGCGGCCGAGCGCCAGCGCGCGGCGCACCACCCCCGCCGCGGTCGGCAGCTCCGCGTGCGCCGCCGCGCTGCCCTCCCAGGCCGCTGCCACGCGCTCGTCGGCCCAGACCAGGGCCAGGCCCGATGCCAGGCGTGACCCGGGGGCGTGCACCAGCACGCTGTCCAGCACGCCCGCCAGGTCAGCGTGCAGGCCGCGCGCCTCGGGATGTCCTGCGCCCACGGCCAGCAGGTGCGGGTCGTGGGCCTCCAGGAAGGCGCGCACGCGCGCGGCGTCGCCCGCGCGCCGCGGGTCCGCGAAGGGGTCGTCGGAGGGGCCGGCCGCGCCACGGCGCCGCGGCACCGCGCCGCTCCACTGCGGGCAGTGCAGCCAGTCCACCAGCGCGCCGGCCGGGTCCAGTGCCACCAGGGTCGTGGGCGGCGTGCCCGGGCCCCATACCGCGCCCACCACGCGCCGCTCGCCCTCCGGCACCTCCTCGTCCTCCTCGCCGGCGGCGGCGGGGACCAGCGCGCGCGCCGGCGCGCGCGAGGCCAGTGCCCAGACCGCGTCCGCGTAGGCGCGGGCCAGCGCGGCGCGCGCCTCCCGCGCCAGCCGGCCGCGCGCCTCGGCCGCCAGCCGCGCCTCGCTCAGCTCGCCCAGCGCCAGGCGCAGCACGCGCAGGCGCAGCGCCTCCCACTCGCGCGCCACGGGCGCCAGTCGGCCCGACAGGTACACCGCCTCCAGCGCGGCGGTCAGCGCGCCCGCGCCCCCCGCCACGTCCAGGCTCACGGTGACCAGGCCCGCGCGCTCCGCGGCGGCCACCCGCGCGTACAGGTCGGAGCCGGCGAAGGATGCTAGCGGCTTGCCGCGCAGGCGCTTGGCCAGCGCCAGCGGGTGGGTGGGCTCCAGCGCGCCCTCCCCCGCGGGCGTGGGGAAGGTGGACAGCGTGCAGGCGCGCCAGTGGTGCGCGCGCGCGTGCGCGCGCACCACCGGCTCCGCCGCCAGCTGTGCCGCCGCGGCGCGCACGATGCCGCCCAGCGCCGCCTCGCCGCTGGCGAAGCCCAGGTCGGGGGCCAGGTACTCCAGGGCGAACTCCGCGGGCGATACGGGGGGGTCCGGCGGCTCGGCGCCCGCCGGCACGAAGCCCTGCGCCAGGTACTCTGCCAGCTGGGCGGAGGTGAAGGCGAAGCGCGGCACCGCGGCCGCCAGCCCCGCGCGGCGCAGCAGGTCGTAGCCGCCGGCTTTCTGCGCGGCGCGCGGGCGGCGCGCCGCCGAGGCCGCGTCGCCGCCTGCGTCGTCCAGGCGCGGCGCGGCCGGCGCACCGGCATCTCCGCGCAGCGTCAGCTGGCGGAAGCGCGCGTCCACGTCCTCCACGCCCTCCCGGTCCTGGGCCTCTGCCAGGCGCTCCAGGCACTGCGAGATGCCGGCCGCCTCGTCCGCGTCGCTCGCGGACGCCAGCGCCGCCTCGTACGCGGCCGCGCGTGCTGCGCGCAGGCGCGCCAGCGCGCGCCAGCGCCGCGCCAGGTCGTGCACGGCGTGCAGCACGTCCCAGCGCCGGATGACGCGGTCGCGCGGCTGGATGCTGCCGGCCGGGTACGTCCGGCTGGCCTCGTCCCTGCGAGGGGGGGGAAAGGAGTGGAGGAGGGATGCGCGGGGCGCTGGTCGAGCGGGGTGGTACTCGTCGGCCGACGGCAAGCCTGGCGTGCCCCCTGCTGGTGATCATCGTGTAGGGAACTCGGCAGAGGAGTGCTCACCCCCCCCTCCCCATCAACTGCCTCCCCCACCACCAAGGAGAAACAACCCGCGCACTCCTTGGTGAAGTAGGGCTCGTCGGTGCGGCGCAGGACCAGGAGCTCCGCCACGCGCTCCTTGGCGTACATGCCAATGGTGGGCACCTCGCGGTGGCGATGGTACACCTCCTCCAGCGCCGCCGCCACCGCATCGTTCAGCGCGGGCAGCGCGCCGGGGGGCAGGCCGCGCGCCGCGCCCTCCTCGCCACGTTCGTGCCCTGCATACAGCCCGCGCCGGTCGGCGGTGGAGCGCAGGCCGCCCTCCAGCTCGCCGGCGCGCCAGGCCTCGCCGCCATGCCAGGCCGGGGGCGGGCCCTCCACCTCGCGCACTCCGGCGCGCACCAGCTGCCCCGCCACGCCCGGGTCCTCCGCCAGCCGCGCCGTGACCCAGGCCGCGCAGGCGCCCAGGTCCCAGTCGCGCGGCGTGGGGTCGTCCGCCAGCTGCAGGCGCTCCGGCAGGTCCGCGTCGCGGATGGCGTCGTCGCGCGCCGTCAGGAAGTGGCGCTCGAGCAGGGAGGGGTCGACCGCGCGCTCCATGCGCCGCGCCGCCGACCCGCGCCGCCGCTCCTCCTGCGTGTTTGTGTGTGGGGTGTTTGCTCGGTGTCGGTGCGCACTCGTGCGTGCACCGCCCTCCCCCCCGAACCCCCGCCCTGCCCGCGCGTCTCACACGCTGCAGCCTCAGGGCCTCGGCGACCTCCTCATCGCTGAATTCCTCGGCATCCACCTCCTCGGCACCCTCGTCCAGCGCCTCCTCCCCGGCCTCCCGGGCCCCGGCCGCCTTGCGGTCCTCGTACATCGCCAGCAGGTCCGACACGTCCCCGAAGATGTCGTTGGCCTCCTGCGGCAGGTTTTGGGAGAGGGGGGAGCATGAGCAAGGGCATCAGCTGGTGAGCACCCGAGAACCCTGGGGCACACCCCCGGAAAGCCGGCCCCCAAGGCGTGGGGTGGCACTCTGGCGGAGGGCGGGGACGAGATGCAGATCTCCTGCCGCCCAGATCGAGAACAGATCGTCAAATCTGTACCCCGCATGCGCCAGCACGTCAACTTGCCCTCGCCCTCTCGCCGCGTCCTCACATCCAGACAAAACTCGCCTCTCCCCCTCACTGAGCGCTCACGTCCAGGGCGTCGGGGTCAATGTCGGGCACGCCCTCGCGTATGGCGCGGCGGCGGCGGCGCCGCCCCGCGCCCGCCGCGGCCGCGGCGCCCTCGTCCTCGGCGCCCTCGAAGTCGTCCACGATCCAGTCGTCCTCGTCCTCCTCCTCCGCATCGAATTCGTCCCCGGCGCGGGCGCCAGGCCCAGGTGCGGCGCGGCCCGGGGGCGCAGTGGGCGCGGAGCCCGCGGCCTCCGCGTCCTCATCCTCAAGGTCTGCGGAGGGGGGGCGGCGGTGAGTTCGAGTGCTTTAAATCCTGTGCATGCCCACGCAGTGCCGCAGCGGTACTGCGGTGCCCTGGGCATTGCCAGCCATCTCCTTCATGCAGGATGGTCGCATGCAGTTGAAGTTGCTTTCCCTTAGACACTCTCCATCTTACTTCAAGCCGCCAGCAACAAATCCCCTCCCCCCCATTTTCCCTCCATTTCATAGGCTCACCTTCCAGCTCGGCGCCAAAGAGCTCCTCCTGCAGGGCCTGGGCGCCGCCCTCGCGGCCCAGGCCCCGGTCCGCATCCCGCGCTTTCTTGATGCGGCGATGGGCGGCGGGGCGGGCTCTCCGGATCCCCGTGTTCTCTTCCAGCAGGTCGTAGTCGTCGTCCTCCAGCACAAGCTCCCGGTGCCGTCGTTTCTTCTTGGCGTGCTTGGCGGCGCCGGCGGGGGGCTGGGCCTCGCCCTCTGCTGCGCCTGTGCCAGCGGCGGGCATGGGCCGGGAGGGGGGCTGAAGACCCATACCAACCTGATCACCCCTCTCAGAATGCATGAAACTTCTACCACGATTATCCCCAGGTCTCACAGGACAAGAGCCTCGCCGCAGCATAAGGTAACATGGGCAAGCTACTTGACCTCGAGGTTCACCATCGCCATCCTCGTCCTCGTCCTCTCGCACTAGGAACTTATCGTCGTAATCGTAGTCATCGGGACCCTGTAGTGGGAAGGCAGGCACGCGTACCGTCTCGGGGGTGTCGCAGGCCTCAGGAAGCCCAACCATGGGCAGTGCTACACCAGACCACCCGCAACCAGGGGGCGCACCTCCTCTTCTTCGCTGCTGTCCTGGCCCGAAGCTCCTTCCTTGGTCTCGTCCCCATCCTCAAAGTCCTCATCTTCGTCCTCGTCCTCATCCTCAGAGCCGGCGGGTCGCTCCTTCTCTGTCACCTCCTCCACCCCCGCTCGATCGTCCAGCAGGTCACTCATCGCGGCAGGCTGATGCACATCAGTTCCGATGCATTACATTTACGTGGAGCAGGATTATTCAGGAACCGCTAGCCATCGACGAAAGTCGCTCAAGCGCCTGATGCCGTAGAGAGTGCGAGCGCCAAGTGGAGTGCCCAAGCTTGCAAACTCATTCCACGCTGGATGCATTTGGGAAGCGATCCACCTTCGACCATCCTGCTTGGTTGTCACACACTCCATCCGTTCTGACTATCACTTCGAAACCAAATACATCGAAATACTACCTCGATCGGGCACATCTTCTTCCTCTGGAGAGGCCACACTCCTGGTGTGAGATAGGCCCTGACCCACGCTCACCCGATTCCGGCCAGACGCCACGATCCCCTTGTACTCAGAAGCGCTGACGCTCCTGAAATCAGATTGAGGTCAGGGTTCTCCACACCCCGGCCGTCCATGCTGGCCCGGCTTGCGACGCTCCAAGGCCAGTGTGTCCAGTGTATGACAGTCCGGAGCTCGCCCGCCCGGCCTCCGATGCTCACGGCCTCGCTCCATAAACTAGCCCGGGCTCTGGCAAAGAGGCCCGCGGCGTTCGTGGCGGGGGCCACGGCCCTCACCGCGGGAGTGTGGATGGCGCAGGTGAGGGATAGAGGTGGGGTGGATGGAGAGGGCTCATGGGAGGGGTAGGCTCTCTGGCAAAACTGCCTGCCCAGGTGGAGGGAGGGTGTTACCATGCTGTCTGCACACGCCAGCGGGCCTGCTGGCTTCAACCATGTGCCCACAGACCCACGTCAACTCACGCCCTCCTACTAACACTGCGCAGTCCCAGCTGAACGCGCGCCGGTCCACGCTGGCGCACGCCGGCACGGGCGACGCGCTGCGTGGCTCCCAGTCCTCCCCGATCTCCAGCAGCGCAGGTGACGCGGCAGCCCGCGGCGCCGCCCTCCCGGGCCTGCGCCTGCGCTCCGCGGCCGTGATGATCCCCCACCCCGCCAAGGAGGACCGGGGAGGGGAGGACGCCTACTTCATCGGCGACCAGGGCACGGCGGTGGGTGTGGCCGACGGCGTGGGCGGCTGGGCCGAGGTCGGCGTGGACCCGGGCCTCTACTCGCGCGAGCTCATGGGCCACGCGCAAGTGGCCTGCAACTCTGTCAAGGCCGGTGGGTGTGTTGTGTGTGTGTGTGTGAGGGAGGGGCCCGGAGTCTGACGAGAAGGAGGGGGTCCTGCAGTCGATCAATGACAGATGGAGACTCCGTGGTGCGGGGACGATGGAACACAATGGCTTGTGACCGGCAGCGCGGGTCCAGCGGCAGGCGCATGCTGAGTCTCGCTCCGCCGTGCGGCACCCTGCCACTCCACGCTCCCGGCATGCGCCCAGCACAGCCCATGGGCAGCATTATCAATCCAGATGAACGCTGTCTGCTTGTACTTGACCCTACAGCCTCACTGCACCCCCAGCCAGGATGATTGTCCAAACTTCCACTCACAACCCCCCGCGCACAGGCCCGAGCGCCCCTGCGGAGATTTTGACCCTGGCGCATGCGGCCACGGCGGCCCGTGGGTCCTGCACCGCCTGCATTCTGGTCATCGAGGGCAATGAGCTGCATGCCGCCAACCTGGGGGACTCGGGTGCGAGGGGTCGAGCTGCTGAGAAGGGTGGTGGTGCCGAGTGCTTTGGTTGCACGGGAGGGGAGCCTCGAGGGGGGACCTCTGTGTGGCAACCACTCGTCAGCCCGCCTCACGATCCCTCCTCTCCTCCCTTTCCTCCCGCCAGGGTTCATGATCGTGCGGGGGGACGAGCTGGCCTTCATGTCCCCACAGCAGCAACACGACTTCAACTTCCCCTTCCAGATCGGGTCCCCCGACTCGATGTCCGACTTCCCCAGCGCTGCACAGGTTTGTCGTGGACGGAGGGGGATGATGAGAGGAGCAGAGGATCCTGGAGGCGCCGGCCTGCCTGAGGGAGCTGCTGCGGATCGTGATGGCCCAGTGGCCATGAGCTCACACCAACTCCAATCGCTCCCCCATGCCACCATGCCTTACCTCCCGACCTACCCCCCTCCCTTCACAACAGCGCTTCTCCCTGAAGACGTACGAGGGCGACGTGCTGGTGCTGGCCACCGACGGCGTGTTTGACAACGTGTACCCCGACGAGGCGGTCTCGCTGGTGGCCGCGCAGCGCAAGCGCGGGGCCACGCCCGGCGAGGCGGCCGCCGCACTGGCGCAGTTTGCGCGGCAGCGCGCCGGGGACCAAACGCACCTGTCTCCATTCGCCTACGGCGCGCAGCAGCGCGGGTACAGGTGCGTGGACTTGGATTTGGGGGGCGGGTCTGTGTTGACCCCGATCCTGCCCTGCCATTGCCCTGGATGGTGTGAATCCCCAGACCCCTCGCTTCTCATCCTGACCGCACCCCGTCCCTCGCCCGTCGCAGGTTCTTCGGCGGCAAGATGGATGACATCACTGCGCTGGTTGCCTACGTCTGCCCCGGGGAGGGCGCCGAGGCGGCAGACCCTCCGGCAGACACCCCGGTGGCGCAGGCCAAGCTCTGAGGCTGGTCCGCACGGCAGAGCTCAGGGGCATGGCGCTGCGCGGGAGGGACCAGCCGGGGCGGGCCCTGAGCGTACCACTGTGGCAGGTCTGTGCTTTTGAGCTGGAACGACCTCCCCATCTGTGCGAGGGAAAATTGCCGCATGCTGTTTGCGCACCGCTCTGCCCACCGCCCCTCGCTCACGTCACCTTGTATCCCTAAATGCATGCGCCAGTGTGCACCGGGCAATGGTTTCATTGCCCTGCCGAACATCCATTGGCATGAAACCCCAGGGCACCTTGCACCCTGCCCGGTCAAACGCTCGAAGATGTTGTCAGGGCGACAAATGCCCCTCATCTGGGTCCCGAGGGTCACGTGGCACGATGGCACAGTGACTAACATCCATGCTGGTCAAGGCGAACAGGTCCATTCACATCTTCTACTACATCTCCCACAAGGGAGGGGCAGGCTACCGGCACCTCATGTCGTGCCTGTCCACCCGGCGGGCGGATCCCACTGCGTCTCGTTCCGTTCTCGGTGGTGGAAGTAGTGCTCGCCGTCGGGCGTCTACGGTGGTTGTGGAGGAACGGGGCGGGGCACCTGGTAAATAAACAAGTAATAGCCCATTTGCCACTTAACGATGCAGTGCCCAGAAAGTCTTGTGGGCCCGGTGGCTGGCCAGACAGGAGGAGTCATGGACCCTGCATGGCGACCTCGATTGGCAACGGTACAAGGCAACACGCCGGCGCAGGTCCCCAGCCCACTACGATGTTCACCTGGTACTGCGTCCACCCATTTGGTCCGGCGACAGGACAGCCGGAAGCTACCCACACCTCCCTGTCGGTCATCTTCTCCGGTTTGGCAGCATGGTCTGCGGCCGGGGTCCCAGACGAGCTGTTCGACCCAGGCCCATGGGTTTGCTGGTGGCCCTGCCATGTGCCTGGTCCCGCGCCAGGCCCCACCTGGGAGTATGGCCCCCCTGATGGGCCACGGGAGCGTGGGGGGAGCCCTCGAAGCTCCGCCTCGCCGTGTGCAAAGTTGCAGCGATTGCCAAACCTGCAGTTGCCTTCTAGCCACCTGCTCTTGCAGTGCCGGGGGGTGGGTTCCGATGGGTATGAGGGGCAGCGCAGAGCAGGCTGCGGAGGCGCATGTGCATCAGACTGCGCGGGCAATGCTGCGTGCTGGCCTGGAGTGGGCATGGCGCGCACCTGGTGCACAGCCTGGTCTTGCTGTTCTCCTCGGTCCCACGGAATCCTTTCCGCCCAGAATCGTCGTACGAGCCCCTGTCGGCTCTATACATGGCGCCAGTCAATCTAAATGCGCCTATTCAAGTCGATCGAACAGGAGCTGGGTGTACGATTGCAGTCTCTCGGCGGAAAGCGCCCAGTACCGCGGTGGGATGTTACCTCGGCGATGGGATGCTTGTAGTCCCACAAGCCTCCCAGAAGGGAGTTTCCTGCATTTCCTCTAATTATTCCCGTTTCAGTTCAAGCGGGAGGGTCTAAGTTGCGCAGAGTGTATCAAATTGCCGGGCCACCTGCGAGGGCAAACATTTCCCGCCAATCCTAAAGAATCTGCGAGATGCAGGGCGGTAAACAGGTAGTGCGAAAAGGAGATATGGTGTCTTCGAGACAGGGACGGACCACAGAACCACGAGCTATAACATGTTAGGCAGACAACAAGTAGTTTCAGTCGGGGAACACGCATGCTCATGACACATGGGCCACAGCTTCACACGAAGTTTCTTGACTGGCAGTCCAGGATACAGGTTTGTCAGCTCAAGATATCCGAATGTTGGTGTAAATGTGAGAACGAAAACCTGTCTGTAATCGGTCGGCATTCTAAGCTCGATGAAGAACTCGAGCTGCACAACCCTTCGAACCTTCATACCTGTTGGACGTTGCCCAACAGCGTATACAAGAAACAGCAGAGATTACATGGACAGCTCGCTACAATGAGCATTCTTGGCAAGTGCCTTGGCTACCATGTCGGATGGGACTGAAGAGCTATAGTCACAGGTTCGATCGAACCAAGGCAGAAAACGAGTCAGGTTGATGCGGGGGACTTGAGGCCGGCAGATTGCAGGTTGAGAGCATTATTGGTGGGTGTCCGGCATGCGGTACGTGGCGGCTCCGCTCGATAACGCTCGGGACCTGATCGGTCAGCGATGATAGCCATGAAATCTGTTCCCAGGGTTTGCGTAGTCCAGAATGCCTCACATCTACCTCTAGGAGCTCTTGATCGTCAGATTCGGATGCTGGCGACCTTGATTTGGAGTTGCGCGATCGTCCAAGTCATGCGCTCTAAAGAAAACTGTCGGCGCGCTTTGGGCACACACAGCGGCATCAGACTCGACTGCAGAGTTGCGCTCGAGTGTCATCCTTGTTCCTCCCTGAGATTCTGCATTGAGCAGGCGAGGCATGAGGGAGCAGCTGATCTCTGCGATTGCCCGCTGTGGATGGCTATGAAAGCGTGGGACCGTGTCGAACACATGACAATGCTCCTTTTTGGTACAAGTGACATCGGGAGGAGAACGATGTCCGGCCTTCATTATGGCAAAGCGCTGGGTTCATGTTCGTGAATTCATGGGTCATAGGGGTAGGCACAGCAAGGTGAGACGCTGGGGAAGCGAAGAAGGAAAGCAGATGGAGGAGGAGTGATGGCGAGGAGGAGACATGTAGAGAGAGGTGGAAGAAAGGCCTCAGTGGCGCTGCTGACATCCAAAAACAGAGTCTGACGCTGAGCAGACTGCAGCCGCTCTCCTGCACCTGAAAGAGGGCAGTCTCGCCTCCGCTCCTGCCGCGCAAGCACAAAGGATCCCTCGCCACAGCAGCCGACTGCATCCAGGTGGAGCACCTGGCGGTGGCTGGTCGGGAATGCATTTCGAGTGCTGATCCTGCGCTTGGATGCAGGCGGAGCCCAAGAGCGGGCCAGCGTGCACCTGCCTGCTCGGGTTATGGCTGGCCAGGCAGGTGCGGCCAGGGCCCAGTCGTCGCACGCCAGTGGCGAGCCAATTGTACCCGCTGGTGCAGGAGGTTCAGTGGCCCGGTTAAGAGAAGGGGGCCTTCCAGCACGCTCTTCTTGAACCCCAATCCAGACCTGGGCAAATGCTTGGTCGGTGCCAGCGAGACGCAGGGCCGGGGTTTCGCCCATGGGCCGACGCCCGACGCCGTGCATCCCTCCTCAGGCGGCGGGGACGCGGGGCGGGGCGCACAGCAGCTCGGCGCCCAGCGCCTCGGCTTCGGCGTGGACGTCCGCCAGCCCGCCAGCCCACTCAGCGCCCAGGCTCGACATGGCGAGTGCTGCGGGGGGTGATAGAATTGCGCAAGTTTGGACGCAGGTCGAGGGTGGGGCAGGTGCCGGCGACGCCGTCAACAGCAGAGGTGCTAGGGTGTGTGAGTGTGGGGTGGGCTAGGTGAAGCATTGCAGGGGCGCAGGTGAGGCTGCAGAGCAGGCTGCCCAGCCGGAGTGTGCACTGCCCCTCAGATTTGCCGCTCACCCCTCACACCAAACCCGCATCATGCATTTCCCCCCACAAAACCAAAAACGCTGCACCCTCTCCCCCCCTCACAGTGCGCGGCCTTGGCGTCGGCCAGGTCTCGGGCCAGCGCGGAGGTGCGCCCGGCCTGGGTCGCCGCGCTTTCCTCCACACCGCGCAGCGCGTCGCGCAGGTCCGCCAGGCCGTCCGCCAGGCGGCCCACCTCCTCGCGCCCGCGCACGTCCACGGAGCGCAGGTCCCCCGTCGCCACCGCCAGCTCGGCGCGGAGCGCGGAGGCGAGCGTGGCCACCGACGCCTCCACCCCAGCGTCCACAGCGTGCAACCGCTCGCCCAGCCCGGCGACTGCGGCCTCCAGGGCCTGCACCCGCGGCCCCAGCGCCTCGGCCAGCGCGGCGGCGCGGTTCGCGGCGGCGACGTCGGCGGCCGCCGCATCCCCCCGCGCTGACACCGCCGCGTCCAGGCCAGCGCCCAGCTCGTCAAACTGGTCCGCGATGCGGCCCACCACCGTGGACAGGCGGGCCTGCATCGTGCTTTCGAGCTCGGCCAGCTCCTCGGCGTGGCGCCGTGCCTGCTCCTCCATTGCGCCCGTCAGCCGCGCGAGGCTCAGCTCCTGGGACGCCAGGCGTTGCTCCATGCGCTGCCAGCGCTCCTGCGCCGCCAGGGTGGCCTCCTGGGGTGGGTGGGATGGGATCGAGATGAAGGAGCTTGGTGCTGGCGCATGGGCGCCCGCCTGTCGCCCAGGCTGATCAAGGATGCACCCCACCAATCGTCCGGCAGTTTGTGCACGTCAGAGACCCACCTCTCGTTCGCGCTGGGCATGCTGGGCGAGGCGCGTCACCTCGGCCTGGAGCCGGGCGACGGGGCTGCCGGCCTGGGACGCCTGGAGGAGAAGGAAGGGGACCGGGGATTAAGCATCATCACGACGGTGCAGTCTCGCATCCCACCCACACCTTAGACGCCCCACATACCTGTAGCTCCTGCACCGCGGCATGCAGGGCATGTATCTGGGCCTCCAGATCGCTGATGAGGGGGCCATCCTCCCCTGGCCTGGAAACCTGCTCGGAGGGGCGGGCAGATCACAACATCCCACTCTTGTTCGACCTGTGGTACACAGATCAGTTTCCCACCCCCGCGCGCCGCACCCTGGCGCCCGTCGACAAAGTCTGGCGGTGCAGCTGGGCGATGATGCGATCCAGCCGAGACACCCGATCCTGGTTTGGCGAGGACACCTGTATCGGTGATGAGGACGACATGTTGATGGAGATATCACCTCGATGGGTACGTCCAAAGAGTGTCAAGGAATTTTATACAAGGCGCACCCACGATCTGAATTCACATCCCAGCACATCGCGCGCGCTCGCTCCTACTTCCCTCGACGTGGCCTTTGTCTCCTGGCCAACATGCGCTGAATATCGCTCGTTGTCCTAGAGTGTCATCTCATGAGAGTCGGGAAGACTGGCTCATACCGAGGCTCGATTAGTCCTCCTCCCAGAACCCTCTCACCAAAGGAGCTTCCTCCATTATATTTGGGCATACCCTGCAGTGCGGCCTCAGCAACCCCTCGCTGGCAATTAGATGCCTCCCCCGTCCCGCTGTGTGACGCTATGTCATGTGTAAAATACAGCTCTGTAATCAAAACTGAAGTGAGCGGTGGAAGATTGGCAGGGGAAGAGGATCGGCAGTCAACCTAAGAGCAAAGAATGGAGGACAGGCATGGCAGGGGTAGACGGAAAGGAATGCGTACTAGGGGGATGGCAGCAGTACTGCTATGCACATTGGGATCAGCATGAAATGGTATGAGTCTGTGTGAGCAGCGCGTATAGGCGGCTGGGGGGAGGGGTTGGGGAGGGAGGTACCAAAAGGGATGGGGGTTGGGGCGTCAGGAAGAGGTGGAACAGGGAGGGATAATCTTTGTCAGAAAAGAACGGGGATCGGCGGACGCATCGCGCCACTCAGTTCCACGCGCTCATGGCCGCGACCACGGCCGCCACGGTCTCCTGCGCGAGCGGCTGCTGCCGCCCCTCCAGTACCCCCGGCAGCAGGGAGGCCCAGTCCGGGGCAGTGGGCGCGCCGGGGTCAAACAGCTCGACGCCGCCGAGCCGGCGGCGGGGCTGGTCCATGGCGGCGGTCGGCGGCGCGTCGTCGCGGCCGCCACCGCGCGCCGCGCCGGCGCCCACGCTGGCCAGCAGCGAGGCCAGGTCCGCCTCGCTGGCGGTGGCGGGGGGCGCAAAGCCGTAGGGGCGGGGCGGGGCGCCTGCGTTGCCCGCAAACCCGACGCCTGCGTCGCCGCCCGCAAACCTGGCGCCGCCGCCCCAGCGCGGCTCGTCCTGGAAGAAGAGCGGGAAGGCGTGGGCGCCGGGCGCCAGCGGCGGCGAGGCCACGCGGGGCACGCCGCCCGGACCCCGGGCGGCGTGCCGCGTGGCGGCGGGGGCCTGGGGCTGCTGCGCCGGGGGCGGTGCCCCATCGCGCCCCAGGCCCAGGGCCAGGACCTCCAGGAGGGAGACCGCGCCGCCGCCGCCGCCGCCCGGCGAGGCGGGGCGGCCGCCGTCGGGCGCGAGCGCGCCGGGGCCCCCACCCCACCCGCCGCCCAGCCCCAGGCTGGCCGCCAGCGCCGCAGCAGCGGGGCCATCGCCGTCGCCGGCCAGGAAGCCGTGGCGCATGACCTCCGCGGGCGGGGTGACCGCCGCGTCCGGCAGCGGCGGCGTGGGCGAGCGCGAGTGCGCGACGCGCGTGCGGATAGGCCGCGGGTGGCCCTTGAGCGGCTGGAAGGCGTGGCGCGCCGCGCCGCCCTCCGCCGGCGCGGCCACGCTTGCCGTGCTTTCCTGCACCCCGCGCGGTCGCTGCTCGCCGCCCAGCGCGTGGTACATCTCCAGCAGCGCGGCTGGGGGCAGCGCCAGCTCCGGCGGCAGCACCGAGGCCAGCTGCCGGACGGCCTCCAGCTCACGCGGCGGCGGCCGGCGCCGCGCCGCGCCGCCGCCGCCGTGTTCAGGTCCCTCTGCGCCGGACTGCTCCCCGGAGCGCGTGCCGGGCGCCGCGTGGCGCGTGCGCCGCGCGCGCTTTCCCCCCCAGCGTGGCAGCGGGCTGGGCGGGGGTGGCCCGCCCGCGCCGGACCCCGCGCGCGGGGTCAGCGAGCTCAGCGGCAGCACCTCCATGAAGGCCGCAATGTCCAGGACCAGGGAGTCGTTCATGCTGCCCATGCGGTCCATGCTGAGCTGGCGAGCTGCAGGGGTGGTGGGCGGAGAAGGGATCGGGATGGAGGGACATGACGCTTTGCCTCCGAGTACCGCGCCGGGCCCTGGAAGCGGTGGCGGGCAGTCAGCAGGGGGCGAGCAACCCCCCGTCGGCCGCCTGCCCCAGCGCAGGTGCGATCCAGAACCAACTACGAGGCGGTGCATGGCACGGAGTTCCCTGGGCCAATCCTTGACATCCCTCCTCCCCTGGACCCCTTCAGCCCACCTGCCGACAGGACTTGGTCCAACTGGCCGGAGGGGTTGACGCCCTCCGCCTCGCCGGGGGAGAGGCTGGCCGGCTGGCATTCCGGGCAGAGGAAGGCGATGCGGGACCCAGTGCCGCGGCGCGGCGGCCCCCGGGCCTCCTCCGGCCGCGCGGCCACCAGGCCGCAGCCCTGACACCGCGCGGCCCCCGGCGCTGCCGCTTCGCCGTTCTCGGCGTCGGCACGGCTCGCCGCCCTGCGCGGCCGGGGGGCCGGGTCACCCCAGGGCGGCTCCGCGGCGTGCGGCCCCGGCGAGGACCCCGAGGCGCGGCGCGCGCGGCCGGCGCTGGCCTGCCACCGCTTGCGCGGGTGGGCCGCGTCGCCGTCGGCCGCCCGCCCCCCCGCCCCATCCTCCGAGTCGCTGGCGGGCAGGCTGGCACCGCGCTTGGCGCCGCCGCGCGCGCCCTCGCCGCCGGGCGCGGCGTGGACGTACCGCCGCTGGTCGTAGATGCCGTAGCGCCGGTCTTCCGCCACGCGGGAGGAGTCGGGGTGGTGGCCGCCGCCGCCGCCGGGCGCCGGCGCCGAGGACGCCCCGCCCCGGTGCAGGTCCAGGAGGGGGAGCGCGACGCCGTGCGCGCCCGCCGGGCCCGCAAGCCCCCGATCGAAGCCCTGGACGGACGGCGCGCTGCCGGAGCGGCGCTGGCCGGCGGCGTGGCTGGGGCACGGGGCGCCAGCGCCGAGCAGCCGCACCCGCGCCAGGTGCAGGTCGGCCGAGGCCGCCGCACAGGCGGCGATGTTGGCGGGGCACGGGTCCCTGCTGGCCAGCGCGGAGGTGGTGCAGGCAGCCGCCAGCGCGGCGACGTACATCCGCTCGGCGACCCCCGGCTCCTCCTTGAAGATGGGGAGGGGGCTCGCTGCGGTGGAGGGGGGCGGGCTGGGAGTGCGCACAGCGCGGGGCCCCCGCCGAGACCACCTGGCAGAGGCGGGGCTCGCCGCCTCATTCCTGTGCAGCGAACGGGATGGCATGGCTGGAGTGAGAGGGAGCGGGCACGTCTCAAGCAGGCCGTCGGGACGGGCCAGCCGTGGGCGAGTTGTAGCAGCATGCGGCCTCCCACAGGGACCAGGCCCCGTGAGACCAGCACGTCTGCAAGACAGCACGCAGTCATGAGGCCTGACTCAAAGGCTAGGCCGAGCTCGCGAGCGCCCCTGCGTCCCGCCGTGCCACCAGCTGGACCCACCTGAGCGCGGCCGCCCGCTGGAACTTCACTATGTTGCGCCACTTGTCCTTCAGCTGCACACCCGTCCGGCCCCTGCACCGACGAACGGAACGGTGATGGCACCCATGCTGCCCCAAACCCTCTTACAGGACAATGCCGAACTGCTGAGGCCAGTGGGGTGACCCTCACCCGGGACCCTCCGCACACCCCGCGCACCTCAGGACCTCGAACTGCGGATCGCTGCGAATTTGCTCCCAAAAACCCACTCCATGCGCTTCCACTCCCCGTTTTAGCGCCTCCACCTCCTTGGCAGTCCACACATTATACGCCCGCTGACTCATCCTGAGAGTTCCGGAGAGTGGCCCCTAGGGCGTAGGGTTTACCAAACCCTGCTGGGGTTTTGACGGTACCGCGAAGGCCCTGCGCTGCGGATAAACATAAAAGCTATCGCTAAAAACTCTGTGCTGCACACCGCGCGCCCTCGGGCGACACCCCGTGCGGGCGTGACAAGGCGGCACGTTTCCGCTCATCCTCGGGAGCGGGTGACGCCGCAGCATGCCACAGCACAGGCGCCAGGCCAGGTGCACAAATCCTGCAGGGCAGCTGCCTCTAGCGTACCTCTCGGCGCAGATCTCGGTGCTGTTTGCTCGCTCACCGTAAAACAAACATCTGTACCGGTGTCTGGCCTCTTCTGCACCTGATGCTGGGCTCCGGAGCACCCGGCGCGGTGCTCCCGAGGGTCGTGGTGGCCCAGCCGAGCACGCAAAGGAGCTCAAAGTGCCTGCGGATTGCTCCCTCGAAGATGAATGCATGTTGTAGCAGTCCACAACCGTCCGGTATGTCGACAATTGCTCAGACTTAGGGAGGCCGTTCCTGAATACCGCGCGGATAGGGTTTGGTAGGGTTTCTCGGTGCACTCTCGAAACCCTACAACCACCCAGTCCTAGCTTGCCTCCTCCCCACAGCTCATCGAATTGATCTTTGGTGGGACCTACAGTAGCTCTTTATCTTTTAGGTCCAAAAATCCGCACACTTCAACTGTGGTAGTTCTGGAATTTCCATGAAGCGGACGGACAGTTGTGAGTGGTATTACTGTGTCAGCCTGAGGGTATCAATCTTCTTGCAGTGTACATCGGAGCAAAAGTACCATGGCTTTGTGTGATTTCTTTACTGCAGAGACAAGACCTGGGGATATCTTATCAGCTGCAGTGCTGATCATCACATTCTCACTGGTGAGGAGGCTTGCACCCCCTCCTTCGTACGCATCGTTATCGTTCAACTTCGCGACATGGATCGTGCACCTTTCACCGCACGAAGCTTGGGAGCCTCATGCAGATTCAAAAGAATACATCGCATATATTCATCGGGAACTTTGCCCTCTGCAGCACAAGCTTGCTGTTGTGGAGCACTGCATCCCAGATAAGCACGCCTGAAGCTGTGGCGCCCGGAGACCACATCCTCTTCCCAGCCAATTCAAAGTGCATAATGCAATGATATCACCAGTTTCACACGCGTGGAGCGCTCCCAGCGCGATGTGTGTGGTTCCGTCTCCGAGTCCAACGGCGTGGTTCAAGACAAGACCACCCCTGCACCCTAGGCGGCACGAGTGTGTCGGCCGACGAGGTCATGCTCCGCGCGCGACGGCGGGCTTGGATACTCCTATTGCTCCCACGAGCACCCGTACCTACCCAGTGCGCCGACTGGACGCCGATGAGGTGCGCTGTGGGCGGCGGGGCCACTCGCTGTGAGGCTCGGTGTCCCACCGGATGCCCATGCCCCCACACGATGGGTGTGGGGGGTCAGCCCATGCATGAAACGTCCCTGCCCATACCCCCTCCGCAGGCCATCGAGGCCATGTACGCCCGCCAGTCCCGCTGGCAGAGGGAGCGCGCCGCCGCCTTCTTCTCCAGCGAGCTGGGTGGGATCGTGACCGACCCAGCGCTCATGCTCCTGCATGCGGACGAGCACGGTTTCCACCGGGGGCACGCCGTCTACGAGACACTGCGCCTGGAGGACGGCCACATCTACCTGCTCAAGCGGCACCTGCAGAGGTGTGGATGCATGGGTGGTGCAGCAGAGTACCATGTGTCCCTGGTCGGGGTCTTGATGCATGGGAACCGTGCTGCTGAGGCATACCTTTCTTTCCATATCATTGGGCATGTCGGATCAGGATAAAGAGCGACGAGTCATGCCCAAGCCCCCCCTCTACCAATCCTCGTCCCCCTCTCCGCCACCCCAGGCTCTTCCTCTCCATGGTCAAGGCAGACATACCCCTGGCACCAGACTTGGGCGTTGATCAGATGGCACGAACGGTGCTGGAGACGGCGGCCGCCTCCACCAAGCTGAGCGGTGAGGAGCCTCTGCATGCCTGGGCCATGGCATGCCCTGGGTCATGGGTGGCGCATGCTGGAGAGGTTTGGGGCATCGGGTCCTGGTCCATCGCGCATGAGCACCCACGATCGCCCGTGCGCTGACCCCACGTGCACTCCCACAGCGCCTGCCCCTTGCCATCCCCAACAGGCACCATCAAGGTCATCGCCTGCGCTGGACGAGATGACCTGGGCCTGGCGGGGACCACCTGTGCCGCCTCCTCCTTCTATGTCCTCGTCTCCTCCACCGCCCCCCTGCCCAAGAGCAAGGAGGAAGGTCAGCAAGAACCAACCGCGTGTGCATGACATGTGCCTGGCTGACTGCCGGGCATGGTGGGCGGACCAGGTCAGGTCACCATGCCCCCCCAAAGTCTCCCATGGGACCTCTACACTGTGCACAACTGCCTGTCCATTCCTTCCACGATGCAGCCTTCTTCCCCCGGCCCAGATTCCTTCCCAACCCCCACACTCCCTCTCTCCCCCCTCCCCCTCCAGAGTATCTCAGGGGCTGGCACGTCAAGACCAGCCCCGTCCCCGCCATCCCCGACTACTTTGCGACCCTGCGCAGCGTCGGCAACCTGGCGGTGGTGCTGAGTCAGCACGACGCCGAGGCCGGGGGCTTCGACATGGGCATCATGCAGGACGGGCAGGGGAACGTGGCGGCCGCGCCGGGGTCAAACGTGGCCTGCCTGACCCAGGACGGCGTGCTGGTGGTGCCCCCCTTCGACCGCTGCCTGGCAGATGCCACCACCGAGCGCATGCTGGAGCTGCTGCCCCAGGTGCGCTGCTGCGGCGGGGGGGGGATGGGAGTTGCAGGTCTGAGTTGGGCCCCCAGGGCTCAGGGGCGGGCCTGGGTTGCAGGACCCTACAGGTGGGCGAGCATGGCCCAGCACTGCCTCCCTGGGTTGAGAAAAGGCAGACCCTCCTGTCCCCACCCCTTGCAACAGGCCATACGGAGCGGTATGGAGGGCATCAGCGCGGTGGAGCAGCGCCACATCAGCATCGCCGAGGCCAAGAAGTGCATCGAGGTCATGCTGGTGGGTGGCGACCCCGTCCTCATGCCCGTCCGCAAGGTGAGGGCAGGCCGCCGAGCGTGCCGATGACGTGTGCACAGTGGCGCGCAGGGTGCGGGCGATCAGCCCTGTACCCGCTGGTTGCAGGGCGCCAGGTTTGGGGATGCAGCCTGAGCCTCCCGGAGGCGTGATTGGAGAGGGCGCACAGCGACCCCGCCAGCCCGTCACCCCTACCTGCCCCCACCGCATCTGCAGTGGGATGATGAGCAGATTGCCGACGGCCAGGCCGGCATCGTCGCGCTCCAGATCAGGGTCATGCTCCTGGACGACATGGACCCGCACGCTGAGCACGCTGCGCTCGACACCCACCTTCCCGTGCCCTACGGCGGGCTCACCGGCATGGGACTGTGAGCGCAGGTCGGCTCGGGTGCCCGCGCGTCCACCCCTCGCCGCGTGCGCAGCATCGCAAGGAGGGAAGCAGTGTCCTCGACACACCCATGCACCAATGGGCGCCGCGTTGTTAACCAGGGTAAACTTTTCTTACATACAATGGGGCCCGTGGGGGGCGGAGTAGCAGGAGCAGGGGTGGACAGCAGGGAGAGGGTGGGAGACCATGGAAACGGGTGGACCCCTCGGGCCCAGGCCCGAGCCCAGGCACAGTGCAGGCGCCCAGCTTCGGCAAGACAGCAGAAGCAGGGCCTGCTCCTGTGCTGCAGACCAGCGCCACGGGGCCGAAACCCGGGCAGCCTGCACGCGCAGAGGCCCCCTCTTCACTCGGCCTTTTTCCGCCCGCCAGCAGCCGGGGCGCGCGTCGCGGCGAGCGCCCTGCCCGTCCCGTTCACGACCAGACCCAGCGCGCCCAGTGCGGGCAGCGTCTGTAGCAGGGTCAGGCGCAGCCAGAACAGGGCCAGCGTGCCCAGCGTGGCCGCCAGCGCGGCGTGAAAGCCCAGCGCTGCCAGGCCCGCCCTGCCACCAGCGGGGAAGCCCTGCGTGGGATGCGGAGGGGTGCGGGGGCTGGGGGATTTGGCTGTCAAGAGCGCGTCCTTGCAGCGAGGCAAGGCCATCATTCGAGAATGAGGGGACGTGGGTTCCTGTGGCCCCCGCACCTGATGCAGAGCAGACGCGCACCCTGCACATTCTTCTCAGTGGGTTAAAAACTCCTGTCACCCCCCCGTTCCAATCGTCATTATCCCCACCCTCGCCCACCTTCAGGTTGGCCCCCAGGCGGGCCGGCAGGGCCAGGAGGAAGGCGGCGCCCAGGGCCAGCACCCCGCCGAGGGCGGTGAGGGGGGCCAAGGGGTTGGCGCGCCGCTCCGGCTGGCGGTGCCGGTGCTGGATCTCGGGCAGGGGGCCCAGGACGGGGGCCTTGTAGCCCCGGCCCGGCGCCGGCTGGCCCAGCACCAGTGTGCCCAGGACGGCCTCCAGTCCGAGGGGCAGGGAGGCGTCGCCCAGGACCAGAGAGAGGCGGGTGGGCCCAGGCGCGAGCTGTGCGGCGAGCGCGGAGTGGCCCGCCGTGGCAATCAACGCGTCCCCGGCCTTGGAGGGCCGCGCGGCGACGGCGACGGTGGCGGTGCCTGACGGCGAGTCGACGCGCAGGAAGGCCTGCTGCGGCAGGAACATGGTGGACTGCGACCCCAGCACTGGCTTGAAGGATGCCTGGGGAAGGGGGGGCAGCGGGGAGTGGGGAGAGGGGGCGGGATTGTACTGAAGGCCCCAGCAACATGTGCCCTGGGGCCGGGAGGGCAGATACGTGTTGAAAGGGCTACCACTCAATGCATGATACCTTGGAATTGAGACCTATAACATACCAAGCCACCAGCAGCCCGACCACAGCTGCGCACCTTGAGCGAACAGCCCTTCTCGAGCGTCAGGGCGTCCTCCAATGTCGCCCCCCGCAGGATGGTGTGCGACGCCAGCACGACCCCTTCTCCGTCTTCCACTGTCAGATGAATGTCAGATACGCTCAATACGCTCTGAATGTGGAGGAAGAGGAGCGCCATCAGGGCAAGATCTCGCTGCTCTACAAACACACACACTTTCGATCACTCCCTGTTGAGCTGGGCAGGGCACCAGCTACTGCATCATCGAGAGGTACACGCTCCGATCTATCACCTGCTCTGCTAGACAAGATGGAATGCATGCCAGAGCAAGCGTCGCGATGACGAGGCCAGGGATGGGCCACGGTCGTCGGGTGCCCATTGGAGCCTTCCAATCCCGCAGCCCGAGAAAGCTTTGTTACTGGCTGCGATTCAGTCTAAAAGGGCCAGTTTACTGCACCTCCAATGCGCAGGAGACCTCAGCTCGCACTGCACGTATTGCACAGGAACTTAATTGCGAACCGGGCTGATGCGCTCCGCGGGAAGAAAGCAACCTCGAGTCGCATCTCGGAATACATGGGGTATCGGGCTTATGAGAGCCAACCCCCAGTATCCTCTTGGAGAGCTTCAAAGTATTTTTTACCACTCATACTCATCATATGTTTATGAAGGTCAGCCGAAGGATCCCAATTCTCGGGCACTAGGCCGCGGATCTGCAGATGCTCACCCTTTCGGAGAACGTTCCACGTCACAGACATCTTCACGCGTGATGAAACTTTCAAGAGCTATGCAACCTCAACACTGGGTCGTCTCGTGATCCAGGATTCCTGCCCCAGCACCAAGCCGCCCCCCCGGCAAATTGTCGCTACGCCGCTCAGCCATGCTACCTTGGGCCTGGAGGCTCCTGATCTTGGCTTCCCTTGTGCATCACGCAGGTAGGCAGCCTGCTGCAGCCTCGACACGGCTTGAAGGGCAGGATATATGCATGCATTATGTTCGACTCTCGCACCCGCCACAGCTTAGAGCTCAGGGGTCCCCGGCAGTCATTGTCCCCACCGGCCCCTCGCTTCCCCTTCCTGCAGTGGGCGCCGATAAGTTGGTGTACCATGCCATAATCACCCTCGTGGGCTGTCCCTACTCCCTCCTGCCCTCTGAGACGAAGGCCGTGTCAGATGCCTTGAGCAGCATGATGTATGACCCCTGGACCTTCAGCAGCCAGCAGGGTTTTAAGTCTGGGGTCGAGCCCACCATCTCCACCACCAACCCCACCTCCCTCTGCGCCACGGCGGCAGACTTTCCGGTCCCCACCGCCGCCCTGTGCTCCGTGAACTGCCAGGGCTGGGTGGATGCAGGCGCCGGGAGCACCGTCGCTCCAGAGACATACACGGCGGAGGGTGCGTTTCTGATGGGTTGGGGGAGCACCCTTGCAGTGGGCTCAGTTGCGATGGGAGTTGTGGGGCCGGAGAATTCCTGGATGCGCAGCTCCATGCATCTGCTGCAGGGATCCTGGTGGTGTGCAGCTCCATGTCGTGGACCAAGTGATGCTCCAGTGGTTCCTGCTGGGCCCTCTTGACAGCTCTCCCCGATTTATATCCCTGCCTGACCCACTCCCCTGCTGCCCACTCTCCTCACAGGCGCAATTTGCTGCAACTGCAACCTGGACGCCGAGACCAGCCCCTTAGCCCCTCCCCCCGCCAGCCGCCGCCTGTTGCAGGACAGCAGTACGGCCTGCAACTCCATCTTCCACACGGTGGAGCCCGACATGGCGGCCTGCAGCGAGGCCTGCTTGGAGAAGCAGCGCAACGCCCCCGGGTCGACCATCAGCCCCACCACCTACACCAAGTCTGGCGTGGAGGGGCTGTGCTGCAACTGCCGCATGGAGAGGCCCTGGCCGCCCCCGCCCCCGCCGCCGGGGGTGGCCGGCGCCTCCTCGCGCGTGTCGTCGGGCATGGATGGAGCCCACCTGTTCCTCGCGACCACTACCCGTAACGCCGGGCGCCTGACCGCGCGGCTGCAGGGGAAGATCGACAATGGCACGCTCATCTCCGCGCTGCAAGCCGGTGAGTAGGGGTTGACGAGCTGGGGGTGATGCTGAAAGGGTCCGGGGTCTTCATAAAGGGGCGCAAAAGGGCGACATAGCTGATGGAAGGTCCAGTACAAGGGTGTTTTTGGAGGCAAGCCTCAGACTCCTACGCCGCGACTGCGTGCCACATGCCTGGTCTCTCTCCAACACGGCCCGCCCCGCCGCTGCCGTACCCCCAGCCATCCAACTCCACACCGCTTCCCATGCCTGCAGGCGGCCTGACGCTTGAGGGACTCCACGTCCTCTTCTCGGGCACGGGGTCCATCACCAACCTGTCCCCAGTACCGGAGGTCCCCAGCCCGCCTCCCAGCCCGTAAGAGTCCCCGCCACCGCCAGACGCGCCGCCCCCCCCGGCCCCTCCCTCGCCGTGGGCGAAACCTGTTGGGGGAGGTGGGGGCGGCCTCAGCGTCGCAGCGATTGTGGCGGTGAGCGTGGGCGCCGTGGCGGGGACGGCCATCGTCGTCGTCATCGCATTGCTGGTCTGGGACCGGCGGCGGAGAGAGGGCAAGGCGCAGGCGGCCGTGACAAAGAGCTGGAGCGGGCGCCGCGCGGCGGGCACGGGGAAATCGGGACCCGTGACTGCGCGCCCCGCCCCGGCGGCCGCCAGCTCCTTCAAGCCCGGGATCAAGACCTGGCAGGAGCTGGAGGCTGACCGCCTGGCGGCCCTGGCCTCCGATCCCAGCCTCGCGGCAGCGGCTGCGGGGCTGGAGGAGGGGGGCCGCAGCGGCAGCCTTCGGAGCCTGGGCAAGAGCCTCTCCTCCGTGCTGCGCATCGGTGGGGGAGGGGCGCCCCGGGCCGAGGCCCCCACCGCAGAGGGCACGCCGGCGGCGCACGCCCCGGTTTCCACCCCCGAAGAGGAGCTGGCAGACGAGGAGCTGGCCCGCCGCCAGTTGTTCACCATGTCCAGCAGCGACGGTGGGGCTGCCGGCCCATCGGGCAGGGCGCGACCCTCTTGGAGCGGCAAGGGGTCCAGGAGGTTCGCGTGACACATGGTGGACCCCTCATCTCTCACCGGGTCGAGGGTCGCAACAATGCTGCCCCTCTTGTCCAAACTGGAAGGCCCGAGGTTGTTGAGCACTGCACAGTTCATGGACGTGTCCTGAGTCCAGAATTGCCATTGAACAGTCCTTTGCTCAACTTGTCAAGGGGCATGCTGTCATCAACCTCCCAAGTGTGGCTGGGCCCCCGCACCTTGCCTCACACAAACCTTTAGCTCAACACTTGCGCAGTTTGTTACAAACACAGACGTGCATGGGGAGGGTGCGAGGTGAACGGAACCAGGAGGGGCAGCGCCGTGCAAGCGTGGAGCAGGGCAGCCCCACCAACGAGCCCTCCGATTCCACGGCTGGCTGGGAAGACAATAGCAAAAATGGGGGGGGGGCAGCATGGCTATGGGCAGACGCAACACAACGGAAATCGAAAAGGGGAGACGTGGCAGTCGATCAGGCGGCTTCCCTGGGAAGAGAGGGGTGTCAGGTCGTACATGCGGGGGTCTCAAAGAATGCGAGCGGCGCGTGCGACTCAGAGGGATGGATTCTGGCATAGCATGAAAGGTATGGCAAGAAAGGCGAAGGGGGAAGGCTAAGGGGAAGCGTCCAAGGGTGGGAATCGTGCAGGACCTGCGCTGCTGCTGCAGGTGCTTGCCTGCCCTGGTCCCAGGGCAGCAATCAGGGATCGGCCAGGGGGTCTGCGTCCTTGGCGCCACGTTTCGCGCTCTGAGCGGCGAGCAGTGCTTCGAGGTCTAGACCCGCCCCCACCGCCTCCAGCTCCTGGGTGAGTTTCCAGTGTGTTTTTGCTGGTGAGTGTACCCGGGCAACGCCATGCAGAGTCAAGAGCGGGACCCTCTGGCGCCTGGCCAAGTTCTCGGCACCTATCCATGCTACTCAACTCTACCAGCACAGCAGTTCATGCCACTGTAGGGCCCTACGGTCCTTGTAGCCACCTCCACGCATGCGCTGGCGCCCCTGGTGCCCCCCAAAGCCACCTCAAATCCCCCTTCCCTCTCCCTCTGTCCTGAAACACCCACGCATGCTCACCTGCGGCCCTAGGAACATGCCGAAGGGCACCCCCCCGTATTTGTCGGAGTGGTGCAGCTTGTGCGCCGCAGCGATGCGGCGCAGCACCGGCACGTCGGCGATGGGCCCAACGGGGAAGCGGCGGTGGACAAGGCCATCGTGCACAAACATGTAGGAGATGCCAAAGAGGGTGACGCCCAGGCCCGCACCGAAGAGGGCGCCACCCAGGGCGTCGGGCCGGAGAAAGCCGTAAAGGCAGAGGCCCATGGCCGGCAGCGCGTTGGCCAGCGCGAAGAGGTCGTTGGCCTCGAAGGCGCCCTCGCGCGGCGCGTGGTGGCTGGCGTGTAGCGCCCAGCCCCAGGCCGCGTCGTGCCAAAGCACACGGTGCGCCCAGCGCGCGTACATCTCCATGGCCACCGCGGAGCCTGCCATGAGGACCAGCGTGCCGGCCAGCTCACCCAGGGGGAGCGGGTCGCCGGCGTCCAGGTGGCGCGTGATGCGCAGCGCGGTGGCACCCACCGCCAGCGCCACGATGCCAAAGGTGGCCGCCAGGGCCGAGGCCTGGTACACCGCCGCGTGGCGCGCGCGCTTGGCAGCCCGGGCCGACCGCCGCTCGGCCGCGGGCGAGCGGCGATCCGCGGGGGGCTGGGGGGTGGGGGCGGCCTGGGGGTGGGAGGGTGAGGGGTGCAAGGTTGTGTGTGGGGGACCAAGCCAAGGTGTGTCTTTTCCCACTGACGAAGGCATGCCTTAAAGTTATAGAAAGGCTGCCCACTTCCATACACATGAGCATGCAAGGGGCGGCTCGGCCTGGGAAGCCGGGGTGCAGCACCCCCTGCTCCGAATGGGAGGACAGCGAGCGGGCGTCGACGTGATGACGGGATCGGTCAATGCCCGCTGCCATAGTATGCCCAGGTGAAAGAAAGTCCCGAGAAATAACGGAAAACATCGTATGTGGCCCCTCCAACCCGTTCCCTCCCCGCCCGTCCGGACTCTACCACTCGATTCTGCTCACCGAAGGGGGGGCCTGCGTGCCGTTCGCAGACGCACGGGCCATTCCCGGCCTGGGCTGCGCCCCGCCGGCCTTTGACATCGTAATGTTCATTCTGTGGGACAGGAGGGTGCGCCCCTGGCCCCGCCTGGCCAGTGGGGCTGGTTGACTTTTTGGGCGTGGGGTCAGGGCCGAGCCAGCATGCACACTGCTGCAGGGCGCAGTGGCCATTTCGAGCGGTTGTTCAAGCTTGCATCACATACAACAATCCTGATCCGGATGCTTCACTGCAAATGTGGGTGCACAGGGCCAAGATGCATCCGGATCAAGACTGCCAGTCGCGAGCACAAGATTTGCACCAGCGCCCAAAGGATGAGGAAACGGCGAACGTGACACGGGCCCTGCGCGCGCCCCAGATTCTGATCCTGTGATGGGCCTTGTCAACCCCCCCCCTCTCCCCCCTTCCTCATGCAGTGAACCCCAAGTCGCGCAAGGTTACATTCCAAACTTCATCGCCTCCATGCCCATCAATAGCACTTCTTGTGATTATCCCAGGAGGGGGGCACCTCCTCGTGCTGCGCCCGGCGCCCCTCCTTGGTCGCCTCCTCCCGCACGGCCAGGTACATCTCCCGCAGCCGGATGATGAGCCGCGCGGTGTCCATGGCGGCCGAGGGCTCCTTGAAGTGCATGCCGCGGGCGTGCAGCGTGGTGAGGGCAGCCAGGCGGGCCTCGCACTGCGCGTTGCAGCACGACCGCTTCAGGTAGCTGTACATCAGGTCCACGCTGTTGAGGAGCTGTGGGGGAGGTGTGGGGTGTAGGGGGGCAGGGAGATGAGAGGGAGGGACTGCATTTTCCGAGCGCATGCATGCCGGGGAGTCGGGGATCACTTGCATGTGGGGAAATGGATGAAGAGCCTGCTCACAGTTGCCAGTTCCACAACCATTTCCAGTAAGACATGGCAGCCACAGGCACGCAACTCACCAGCTGGCCCCCTTGGTCGAATGCGTTGTACTCTGGGTCTTGGAAGTAGTACCCGGGATCCGTGGGGGCTACCCCCGTGAAGAAAGCGCAGTGGGAGAACAAGGTGTCGCCTCCAAACACGTCGCCAGGCTTGAACCGCGTGCCGATGCATTTCTTCGAGTGTGTGTAGAAGGGGGGGCGAATCTTTGTGAAGAGCACGAGGCAAGATTGCAGCAGGGATGTGGACTGAATGGAAGATTGTTCGACATTAACGACCAGATGTTTCCTCTGTCCGGCCTCCAGCCCTGGATGCCTCGTCGCAATGCCGCTCGATGCACTCGGCCCCCACATCCCACCACCCACCCGCATGTAGTCCACCGAGAGCATGCGCATCAGTCCCACGCTGAGGATGATGCCGCCGCCGCCGTGCGCCAAGAACTCTGCCTCCTGAGGGCAGCAGGGTCTCGGGAAGGGTTAGGGTGTGAGGCCACGTGCTGTCTCTGCTCCTGTGGCCTGTCCTGTGGAGCCGGCACGAGTTCAGCCCCTCCCTCTGCGCGAGCCTGAGACGAGTGCACACGGCTCGCATTGCTCCCCCCCCCTCCCCCGGGAAGAGACCCCATCCACACTGCACAGCCTGCACCCCTCCACCCCGTGCCGGGTCTCACCGGCGGGTACCGCGGCCTGAATCCGCAGTCGTCGCCATAAATAGAGCGCCGCTTGACGTCCGCCGCGCAGAGCTTCTGCCAGGTGCAGAAGGGGCAGGCCAGGGGCGGGTCGAAGGGCAGCGCCAGCCCCGCCAGGAGGCTGGTGTTGTAGCCGCAGGGCAGGCAGCGGGGGGCATCCGCCGCCGGATGGACGGGGTGCGAGGGGGAGCCCTCTGTGTGGCCCCAGAACCAGAGGTGGTCGGTGATCAGGTGCGGCATGTCTGGGTCGAGCCTGTGCAGGGTGTTGGGGGTTAATGTGTTGGATCATGGAAGGGGAGGCAGAGCAGACAAATCAAGGGTGTGTTGCCGTGTGCAAGCAAAGCAGTCGTACGGACAGCGCGAAGCTGGGAGCGCAGCGCCGATGTGAATGGGGTGGTCTGTGGCCGGGGCCCGGGTGCTTCGGCATGCAACATCTGGCTTAGCCCCAGGCACATCGTCTGGGGAACCTCAGCAGGCGTTGGTGAACCCAGCAACATTCCCAAGACGACAACTGACCATGTAATGCTCTGAAGGGCCCCACGCCTACAGCACCCAGCGTCGCTGAATGTCATGAACACCTCCACAGTCTCCCACATCTGCCCAGGCCTCCCCCCCCCTTCCCACAAAACCGCGCACCCCTTGACAATGTTGACCACAGAGTCCAGGAACCAGATGGTGTCGTCGTCGCCGTACAGCATCCACTTGTAGTTGTACTGACCAAAGTGCTCGTGGGCTACGGAGGGGACCATGGCCGCCTTGCCGTAGTAGTGGAAGGGGATGTCGGTGGAGTTGAGATAGATGAACTCCTCGCCGTGCAGGCCGCCGTCCAGCCGCAGCTCGGCATCGGCGTTGAAGTCGGCCACGTATGCGGCGCGCAGGCCCCGCCGCCAGGCCCGGCCTGCCTTGATCCAGTCACGGCCGCTGGGCGAGAGGGGGACCGCCACCACGATCTGATGGAGGGGAGGATGGGTGATTCGAATTCGACCCACGCCCTGGTGCATCACTGCAGAGGCACGCTGTCACACACCAGCCCCACTGGAGCTGAAATTCAAAAGCTGGGGACGTTGCCATGCATGAATAGAGTGCTCGAGGGCCCAGCTCGAGCAGCATCCCCTTGAATCGGCAGCACATATCGTCTCCAACCTGTGCCTTGTACTCTGCAGGCAGTTTCCAGCCCGGCGCTGTGGAGGTGTCCCCGGCCTCCCCACCCAGGGGGGAGGGTCGGGCATGCAGGGTATCCCAGTCCGCTCCGCCCCGGATGTGCTCCAGCGCAAGGAGGTGGAAGGCTCCACGCAGCCAGTTGTCCACCAGCAGCGTCACGCACACGGCCACGATGATGGAAAAGGCGCGGCCCTGCCCCAGTCCGTTGGAAACCGACCACATCTGGCGGGCCACGCGCGCCATGCCAGGCTGCGCCCTCACTGCATCGGCACGCCCAGGACGCGCTGGCCCCAGATCGCTCAAGCGACAAGCCTCTCCCGGCACGGTGCAGCGGGTCCAGAATTGATTGCAACGCTGATCTGCACCCACCGAAGGTGTTCGCCGGGACATGTGCTCGTCGCCCGCGTCGCCGGCCCAGCAATCCGACGCGGTGATTCCTGCGCGCACGGGGCTCTCCTCGGGGGCCAGGGCGCGCGGGTAACTCGGCGTGGGGTGTGCCCTCCAATGCTGTGTGCGAGAGCGGTGTCGTCAGTTTCATACAGGGGCTCTGCAACATAGGGTGCAGACAATGGGTCAGGAGCGGGTGCATGTCGAATGATGGGTGGGCGGGCGGCGCCTGGCCCTCGCCACCAGCGTGGCGCCTCAGATCCGGTGGCCATGGGAACCGGCGGGGTACTCTGGCAGCGCGGCCTCAATGCTCTTCATGTCCGTCAGGCCTGTGGGCCCCGGCTGCTGCGTGGGCGTGGGCGCCCGCGGGGGGGTGCCGCCCCCCGCCCCCGCCGGCGTGCCGTCCGGCAGCAGGTTGTGCGCCCGCAGGAACTCCTCCAGCTGGGAGTAGGGGATCTCCTGGCGCAGCGCCGCCTGGAACATGGCCTGCATGCGGCTCATGGTGGACAGAGAGACCTGCGCCACATCGTCGCCCAGCGCCGCCGGCTCCAGCTTGTCGCCGCGCGCGGGGGGGAGGGGGGGGAGGAAGCCGAGGGAGCGTGCCCCCCTTGGGGCACCACCGGCACTGGCTGGCCGGTGGAGGCGGCCGGCCCCGCGGGCGCGGCGCCCGGGCCGCCCTGCTCCGCCAGCGGGACCAGCGGCCCGAACGACAGCGACGGGCCCTCGTCCATGAGCGTCGCCTCGTCGCCGCCCCGCTGCGCGGACATCGCCGCGCCCCCCGGCGGCGCCGGTGCGGCGCCGGGGCCCGCGTCCTGCAGGCTGCCGGGCGCTGGGCCGCGCGGCGGCAGGCCGACGATGGAGTAGGCCCCGCCCCAGCTGCCCTCCGTGGGCAGCAGCGAGGGGAAGAGGTTGGACATCTGCGCGCGAGTGTGGGGTGGGTGCGGGCGGTGATTGGAGGTGCAGCGGACCGGGAAGCGTCTGGGCTGGGCCACGGCGCGTGTGGCACAGCCGGGCAGGGGCGCGGCGGGAGCACCCAGTCTCGCAGACCCCCCGCGGCCCCGCGCCGGACTCGCACCTGGGCCAGGTTGGGGGGCAGGGACAGGTCCACGTCCAGCGACTTGTGCATCGCCATCCACGCCTCCAGCGAGGTGTCTGCACGGGGAGCGCGTGGGCTCGGGTGGGCAGCGAGCGGCGTGTCACGAGGGGCCACCGGCCAATCGCCGTGAGCACCTCACCGGCGCGGATGGCACCTGGACGGCGCCCCGCACACCGGTCTCCGCTCCGAATCCCCGTCGATCACACGCACACAACCACACCGCACCCGCTTTGCGCTTGGTGTTGCCGGGCATCTGGGGCATGCCCGGGTGGCCCTGCGCGAAGCCCTGGTGCGGGAGGGCCCGGGGCGCGGCGCCGCCGGCCCCGCCCATCGCGCCGCCGCGGGGGGAGGTGCCGTCCGACAGCGGCGCCTGCATGCCCCCCGGGGTCAAGCCCAGCGCGGCCTCCACGCCGTGGCCCGACCCTGGGGCCTGGCCGCTGTTGGCGGCCACCAGCGCCATCAGGCTCTGGAAGCTGGGGTCCTCGAAGGGCGAGGGCGTGAAGTCGGCGGGCGAGGCCTCGCCGTTGCTGGCGCCGCCGGCGCTGGCGGCGCCGCCCGACGCGAAGCTGGCGGCGGGGCCGTCCCCGCCCGGCCCCGCCGACCCGGCCGAGGTGGCGGGCGAGTCGTAGGGACCGGCGCCCAGCTCGCGGTTCCGGGCGCGCCGCTCCGGCTGCGTGGCGCGCTGGCGCCGGCGCAGCTCCTCGCGCAGCGCGGCGCCGCCGTCGCCCGCAAACCCCGTGCTGCCGAGGGCAGAGGGCGGCGGCGAGCGCCCGCCTGCCCTCGTGTGCGAGCCGGCCATCACGTAGGGCGGCGGCGCGGCGCCGTACTCGGGCGCAGAGCTCGGGGCGCCGTAGGCAGGCTGCAGACGCCGCGCGGGGTCGCCGGGGCCCGACTGGGCGTACGCCCCCGCTCCCTGCACCCCCCCCTGCTGCTGCTGCTGCAGGCCCAGAGGCAGGGCGTAGTCCATCCCCGCGGGCGAGCGGCCGCCGCTGAGCGGCGACGGGCCCGGCACCGTGCCGGACTGGGAGCTGAGGGGGCGGTGCAGCCCGGCGCCTGCCCCCGCGTAGCCCAGCGCCGCGCCCGGCGGCGCGTACCCGAGCGCCGCGCCGCCGGGAGGCCCTTGGCCCCCCCGGCCTGGGGTGCCAGGGTCAGC